CGATCCTGTCAGCAATGCAGATTTCCTGTTATTGACAGGATCGTCCTGTCAGCAGTGCAATATTTTCTGCTATTGACAGGATCGTCCTGTCAGCAGTGCAGTATTTTCTGCTATTGACAGGACGATCCTGTCAGCAGTGCAGTATTTCCTGCTGTTGACAGGACGATCCTGTCAATAGCCTCAGGCTTACGTTTAAGTCTCAGAGCTGATTACGACTTAACGATTTGCGGCTAATGTCCAATTACGAATTACGTTGATTTTTGCGGAGGCTGCCTACGGATTACGAAGTCTAAAACGGCCTGATTACGCCTTACGAAAAAGGGCTTGCAGGCCCTCTTTCTACTCTTTCCAGCCGTCTCTCGAAGCCTGGAAGAGGCTAGTGAATACACTGACTAATGAAATGTTTATCGCTGTTGCACCCATACCCCCCTCCCCCCAGCCTGCTATGCCCGAGGGTTCGGGCCGAGCGGCCTGCGTGCCGGACAGGGAGCCGGCGTGCGCACGGAGACCAAGGCACCCTCCACCTCCGTCTTCTAAACACGGGCACACCATTGGCCCAGACCGCCGTGACGCAGCATCACACAGACACGCCATTGGACGGCGCCTGGAGACCGTTAGCCAATGACAAGCTGACATCAGTCTTTGGCCAAATATGGAATACTTAGAACGACAGGCCAGGGTTGGCTGCCGCTTTATTCCCACGGTTATCAAATATCATGTAGTATAGAGAACAGAGCTATAATTATTGTACTATATTGTTGCAACTGCAGAGTTACTTATTAGATAACTAGCAGAGGTATTTTATAATACGTAAAAGATATACGAGAAAAGTAAACGTTGTGAAACGTTGTAGGAACATATGGCGATTCGTCGTGTCAGTAAGGGCTGGGGTAGAGGTGAAGCTTCAAACATTTACGGCTTAGCCTCAGTAGCAGGCTTATAGAACTGGGGGTTTGGTGGTCTTCGGCTGTTTTCTGATTAGCCTCCGTAGCAGGCTTATAGAACTGGGGGTTTGGTGGTCTTCGGCTGTTTTCTGATTAGCCCAGTTCTAAAAAAACAGTGGTTATTCAACCAGCCCTGCTATGTTGTCTATATGCAATCAGAAAATAGCACATAAAAGCTCCCAAAGACCATGAACTTCCTGAAGACCCCCAAAACCCCCAGTTTTTGGCATGCTATGGAGGTTATACGGCGCAAGTATCTACGGTGGGTCATACCGATGATATAAGAGCTCTTGCTACGATTAGGTGACTCGGTGGAAGGAGCTTGTGTTAAGATAAGTTTTAAGGCGCATCTTGTATGACATATCTTTAAGGCGTTGCTGAAATAAAATACGTTGCACTTCGTACACCAGACGTGTCCTTTTCTTTACTCCTGTCCTGTGTGCACTCCACACCAGTCATGGAACCGGACTTTTAGAAATAAAAGGAGGCAATTAGCCTCTACCAGGCACCGCGGATCGCTGGAAAAATAATTGGAAAAATTGCCCGAAATAAAAGGACAGTATACCAGGGGAGTTTAGCTGGCCAGAGAAGATCCAATTTGCGACTGTGTGCACAATTTTTCCATCGAACTGCGATGCCTGGAAGAGACTAATCTCCAACTATATTTGAGGGAGAGGGTCAAGAACCGGGAACCCCCGACCTGATGATGATGACAGCCCCGCTTAGGAAGGCCTGGTGGAGGCTACTTGTTTTGGACATTCGTTCACCTTTGTGTAATGAACATTTCCTGACGTATGGCTGGAGTTGGGGGATAGGGTGGTGTAGGGTTATAAGCTTAGCCTGAGTGTCGGTCTTTTTAGCTTTCGTCCGCTCCACACAATCCGCTATTGGCCTGGTGTGTTACGCCGAAGGGCGGTTATACCGGCTATACAGATACAGAAGCTGGTGTGTTACGCCGAAAGGCGGTTATACCGGCTATACAGATACAGAAGCGGATTGTGGGGTGCGGACGAAAGGCTGAATTTAAGACTAGCCTAGGAATGTGGTCAGCAGAAAGGACCCTGAAAGGGGCCAGAGGATTGTTTGAAGAGTTGAAAGGAGCCAGCTAATAATGTCCATGAAAGGACATTCCTTGCTCTTTGCTTGCTCCAAGCATATCTTTCTGTTGCAAGTTCGTAACCAGCCGGCAAGACTCTATACATTATCCGATCGGCCCTGTTGACTAGGATGTCTATCAGAAAACAAGGCTCTAGGTGAGAAACCTTCTTTGTGTTGGAACCAAAAGTTTTAACTTAAACAGATGAACTTTCATGACAGTATTCTTTAAAGGTCTTACTTATACTTTAATAATGTGAACAAACATAACAACACAGTGCAATAGCATGAATAGTACAATGTTAAAAGATGTGCAATCACTCAAGATTATACAAAAAAAAATAAAAAACTTACCATCATTAGCTAAAACTACACAGTGCTGTACAGAGTATATCTACACATACACATAACAGCGTTACCAATTTAACAAAGGCATTCATACATATAATTAATTGTACTCAACATTATCAGACAAGCTTAATGCAATCTCATTCCTGAATGCTACTTTCAAGTACAAGTGATATGAAAAAATATGGTGGTAAACAAACAATTTTAAAATTACCATAGTGGTAATACCATACCATAAAACTTACTATCTGATACAGTGAGTTTAAAACTACATATTGCTGTAAAGTAAAGTAGACTTAACACAAAAAAGATAAAATTTTTTTGAATAACAACACAAAATATGCACTCCCAAGCAATAACAGTCTGGTGACACGGTAAGTTTTATCTACAGAGGTAGAAGGGGCACGTCATCCCCATCTCCGAACCACTGGTCGTCTGGATCTGGTAATAGAATTTCATCTTGCAGTTCCGGAATGTCCCGCATGGGGGCATGGACCTGCACTTCCACAACGTTTCTTACTTGGGCCTGTTCTTGCTGTTCCGGAATGTTCCGTACCGGCTCTTCCGGAATGTTCCGTTCCGGAGCGTTCTGTTCCGGACCCTGTACCTGCTGCTGAGGCTCTGGGTCCCGTGGTAGAGGATCGCCCAGAGCGTCTCGCAGCCGCCTCCAGAACAGCGGCCTTTTCCGCACGTCGTCTGGCCACATCAGGTACGTGTCCCTCTTCACTACGGCGTTCAGATGGCGGAACTGTTTCAGCATTTCGTTAGGAATCCTCTCCAGAAACACCAGGATGAGACGCCTCCCTCCCCCCTCCTCAAACATGTGGTACTGGGCCAGCTGGAACTCGTACTCGCACCACTTACTCTTCAGGAAGTTCCTGGTGATGAGGCAGACGGTTCTCCGGCTGTTTTCCACGGCATCCGCGATGTTTTCCACAATGGGAGCGCCCACTGCAAAGTCCCTTTCGTGTAAGACCAGACTGTAGTCAGGTTCCAGATTCCCTATCGCTTGATGTATAACCCAGCCGACGTCCCGGTTGTTGTAGGCAAGAAAAGCATCTTGCGTGTATCTGTGCTGCTCTTGGTTCTTTACTTCGCCAATCTTCGGTCTCCTCCACTTGTCCAACATCCACAGGTAGTACTGAACACGGCCGATGTGGTAGTCGACCAGGAAAATGGTCGTCATGGCGACGAAGATGCCCGAAGAGGCGAGCACACAAGCCAGGAGGCGGTTGGGCCGGAATCCATGACTACAGGCTATGTCAAAGAACTTTCGTTCTGATGGATCCTGTCTGTCCTTAGATTGTTGTTTCTGCGTCAGCCCGTCTATCAAACGTCTTCCACGCAATCCAGGTGGACGGGAACATGTGTACCCTCGACCGACGTCAGGATAGGGGTTGTGGAAGTTCGCTACCCTGTCGTATTTATCCAGGGCCCACTCGACAAACCACATTAACTTACAGTCACACAGAAACGGGTTGTCTGCAATGTCGATAGTCTCTAACCGGAAGACAACAGGATTCAGTGTTGTTTGATTTAGAACAGCCAACCTGTTGCTCCTCAGATCCAGATACCTCAACCCGTACAGACGCTGAAAGGCGTCCCCAATCACTGCTATCCTGTTGGCTTCCAGGTTTAGATGTGTAAGGTTGCCTAAACCTTCAAATGTTGACTTAGATATATTCTTTAGCTTGTTGTTACTGAGATCCAGGAATTGTAGCCGCGATAGTCCACGGAAGGCGGATGGCATGACGGTGTTGATCTCGTTATGACTCAGATCCAAATGTTCCAGCTGGTCCGACCATGTCAGTTGTCCTGTTTCGATACGTTGGATTTGGTTATGAGAAAGAGTCAGCGTTTTTAATTTTCTCTTTATTTTTTCTGGTAATCCTTCTTGTATATCTGTTATACCGTTGTTATCCAACCTAAGTGTTTCTATGACTGATTGCTCACAAATATATAATTGAAGGTCAACGAAAAAATCATCGAGTTCATTGTTAGAAAGGTCGAGATACCGTAAACTCGCAATGCAGAGTGGAAGGGTGAATCTTCCCAGTCTGTTGTGTTGCAAATCAAGCACAGTGATATTCAGAGGGAAACAATCGACGCCGGGAACTTCTTCAATTTCATTATGACTCAAATTCAGATGATTCACGCTTTTTATATCACTGAAGTTAAATGATATGTTGTAACATGGCCATTCACGAACTTCGTTGTGTAACTTATTGTGACTGAGATCAAGATAGTCCAAGGTCTCTGGAAGCTGAGCGTGGGAGGTCTCCAACTCGTTCTGGCTCAAATCAAGATGAGTGAGCGAGGACAGTCCTTCAAACACGTATTGTGGTAAAGTAGAAATCAAGTTTTGTGTCAAGGTAAGATGAGTTAGTGAGGACAATCCGCTGAACGCCTTGTCGTGTAAAGTTAACGTCTCGAGGACGCCCTCGAAGGGGAAGAAGCCCTGCGTCAGATCCAGCCTTAGCAAATGTGACAAACCCGCAAAGGCGTTAGCTTCTATGACGACAAATGAGCCGTGGCGAAAAATCAAAGTTTTCAAACTTTTCAAGCCTTTTATTCCCGCAAGAGTATCAGATGTTAATTTGTCCGTATTCACCACGTCTAATGACAACTCCCGAATCTGCGTGTGTCGGAGTTCAGGCAGAACGTCCATAATGGCGGGATTTGAAAAAGTGCCATAGTCCAGCGTCTGCAGATGTGTGAGTGACTTCAGCAGGCCGGGAGCTATAGGAGCGGCAGCGCGTAAATGTTTCACAGTCGGTAATAACGGCCGGAACATTTGAGCATTGAGAGAAACCGAAGTTTTATCATACATGTATATTTCTATAGTCTCTAATCTAGACATAGTTGTAAATACAGGTCCAAAGTACAAGTCACTGTCCCTTATACATGTAACATGTACACAATGATACATGTAAAGGAGACTCAATGTTTTAAGGTTGTGCAGCGGTGCCCACAGCAGGCGTCGTTGTAAGAACCCACTTCCGCTGTGGACTAGGTCATCTTCTATGTAATCGCCGACTATCTCTAGACTTTCCAATGAAGTCAAAGGATCAAAAATATGATCGGATATTACTAAATTGCTGATATTTTTCACGCCGAGTCGTAAATGCCTGAGTATAGATAATCCCGTGAACACTCCCTCACTGGCGACTGTATCGGTGTGAGTCTCCACAGTCAGATAGTTCAGGTTTCGCAGATCTTGGAACATTCCATTTTGAAGAGGAAACATTTGTTCATAATAATTTTTAATATCTAGATGTTGTAATTTTTCTAACCCTGCAAACGCACCGACCTCGATAGTCTGTATAGGATTAGTAGACAGGTCTAATGATCTCAGGTTTCTTAACCCACTAAACGAGCCGTTATACAGTATAGTTATGTTGTTCCATCTGAGATCCACCGTGATGACAGACTCGGGGATGCCGGGAGGTACTCGGGTTAGAGGCGCACAGGTTTGAGTATACGGCCAGTCCGGATCCCCTTTACACACGACAGTTGTTGAGTTCCAGGTCTGACACACAGGTGGGGAGAGTTGTCCTCTAACCCGGCCATGTTGGGCGATGAACACGGAAACCACAGCCAAGCAGACGGCGAGAGGAGCGGGTTTAGACTCCATGTCGGTCTGGTGGCGTTTTTCTCAGGTTCGTCTCGTTGCGCGGACCGGTGGAGAGTAGATATGAACACCTGAAGTTCATGGTAAATAAGGGGAGGGGGGCTTAAATTGACATAATGCATGAGGCGTACATATACACGTGTATGTCCATTGAAGCCTCGGTCACAACCTACCCCTTGCGTGCTTTTTGTCCGTATTTCTTTGGAGGCTACGTCTGCTACGTTTTTTTTTCTGAAAACGTGGGGAAGGAGTGGCGTCGACGCACGTCACTCGCACGTCACTCGCACGGTTTCGCAAGGTGTAAGAGTGTGGTCTGCCACGTCTGGTCGTGAGTGGCTGCGTGCATCGTACGTTGCGCAATTGCGCAAGTGGTGAGTGAGTTGTACGTGCTTACAACGTACGATCTCTGTGCGATTGCAACTTTACCGTAAGGAGGCCGTACTCACACGTGCGTCTTTTATACGGTACGTACGGGGCACGCGCGTCGCTCGTACTCGTACGCACGGGTGGTGAATCCGCAGACCGCACGTAACAAAAGTTTTACATGCACTTTAAGTTCTGCGTGCTCCCAAATCCGTAGGATTCCGTACGGAGGCGGTACTCACCACGCACGGATGCCCTGCGTTTGCCCACGTTTTTGCACGTAGACAGCACGCAGAAGCACGTACGGCGGGGTGTGACCGTAGCTTAAGTCGTGATGGTATTGAAAACTGGTTTATTGTGCCGTTCTTCTACAAACAGCCAGCAGAATTATGAAGATACCCGTTCTCAATACACAAGCTGCAAACAAAAAAATGGCAGTCCTACGAAAATTCTCTTTGTAATGTATAACCGCTTTATATCGACGAACAATGGGTGTGAAGTACATGTTTTCGCCCATCGTGTGCCACCGGATCAGTGGTAATTGGCTACTCTACAAGTGAAAGAACCGGGTCCGTGGGCCTTGATAAATCATTCATACGTCGGTCGCCGCTAGAAATTTACTGGATGCCATTCAGTGACGACCCCCCCCCCTCTCCCCACTACACATTGATGCCTTTGGTAAACTTTTACTGGTATAAACATGGAGGTAATGGTATAAACGAGTTTAAAAAAAAGAAAGTTTAAACCCACCTTTACAACAAGATGTCTGTGAGAAGAGTTGTGGGGGGTGAGTTTGCCGTCTGTCGTCTGAACCACCCGTCTGTCTGCGGCCTGCTCACAAGCCTGGATCGTCTGGAGCGGCGGTGGGGAGGAGTGTGCGGAAGAGTCGGCCGTCTGTCGTCTGAACCACCCGTCTGTCTGCGGCCTGCTCACAAGCCTGGATGTCTGCAGCGGCGTTGGGGGAGGAGTGTGCGAAGAGTCGGCCGTCTGTCGTCTGAACCACCCGTCTGTCTGCGGCCTGCTCACAAGACTGGCACCCGCGCGTGATTCCGCCCAGTTCTGTTTGAAATGTATCCCGCACAGCAGTCACGGCTTCTGGGAAAGTCATAAAAGTCACAAGGTAAGCCGCAAACAATGTCGTGATTTATTAAGATCGGGGACAAAACAAAGGGGTACTCAGCCTGAGGGCACTGGGATGTTGACGCGTTTCCTCGATATTTATCACAGGTACCAGGTACGTGAAGGTACTAGTATGTTTGTGTGTGTCAACAGACTGTCCGATATACTACTAATAATAAATGGTTTTATTGTCCAAACAGTACCCGTGCAGTCGTTTTTCTGAAAACGTGGGGAAGCTTAGCTTCGTAGTTTTGTAGCGCCACATCTTCTGTACAGATATAATTTTGCTCTCCATTCTCCTTACCTACTTTAATAATAGTTAGCTTTGTAACTGTACACCCGTTACATGCTGCAATGCTTTGTACAACCCACCGCAGTTCGGCAATAAAGTCACATCAAATATAAATCAACCTGGCTTGGCGATACTTAGAGTGAGAGTCTAAGTCACTAGTTCCTTAGAGTGAGAGGCAAAAGCTACTTGTCTTGCACACACATGAGTCACACGCCGTCTCTTTTGAGGTCCGAAAGTCATTGTCTTTGAAAACCCAAAAGAACCCGGCAAGCCGCCTGTGATCTGCCGTGAACAAAAGTTGAAAAAGTTGTCTGGACAACGGTTTTAAAAATCCAAGCGAAAGTCTCTTTGTAGTGTCGATGTATTGTTTAGCAACAATGAAAAACCGCCAGTTATCTTTTGAAACTCATTTGTTGTCTGTGCTGCATGGGTTATGTAATTCTTTTATTATTCATTTATTAGCCAGTGCGCTAACATCGTGTTGCTAGACAACTGGATGTACTCTATGGGTCTCTACCTTTCACTGTCTTATTTTTCTTGAGTTTTTCAAGTCTTCCTCTACCGCACCCACAACTAACTGTTCTATATAATAGATAACGCTAGCTGTTGTTAGCTATGCAATTTCCCTGTTACGTAAAAAAATTGTTTCGAATAAAAAAAACGCAGTCAAATCTCGCGCCACCAGATTTGCCGCATTGGCTGACGGGATGCTGACGTGACCACAACGTTTGTATATACACGCCATCGGCGCCATTTTGTTTCTTTGTTTAAATTTTACGGCGAAAGATCTCAAAGGGATTTACACTATGAGTGTACAGTTTGTGGACTCAAGTTGTACATAATAAGGTGATAACTTCACTGCCGACATACTTACCTTCATTTTAAGCCCAAATTGACACCGATGTCATTTAATTCGACATAGATATTAAAACATGCTTGTTGTTGCGGAAGGCTTGTGTGTGGTTGTGTTTCGTGTATAGCTCTAGCGTACGTTCACCAAAATTCTGACAAAAGAGCGGCGTAACTAAGCGACTTCCACTATATATGTTGAATATCCGTATGTTCTAAACTTTTATTGAAGCAAGTAGTTGTCGTGAACGCCAACATGAGGAAAGGTTACAGTCCCCGCCGCCGCTGGTCGGTGTTTACTGCGGGGAAAGGTTACAGTCCCGCCGCCGCGGTCGAAAATCTGCCGCCGCAGCCGAAAATTCATCTGCAGAATTCATCAAAATTGGGGGGAATCACTACAGTACAGAGAAATGATGGTAACTATAATGTGTAACGAAAGCACTTTTCCGTGTGTAACGAAATGACTGAATCAATGTAACGAAATGACTATAGGTCCATGTAACGAACTGGTCATGTAACGAAACGACCGGTTACCTCTAAGTTACTAGTTCCTTAGAGTGAGAGTCTAAGTTACTAGTTCCTTAGAGTGAGAGTCTAAGTTACTAGTTCCTTAGAGTGAGAGTCTAAGGTACCGTAGATACTGTAACTCTGTAAGTTCCCTAATCCTACCACACAAAGACCAGTTGTTACAAGTTACTGTCTTGTTGTTGTTGAACACATATCGACACCTCCAATTTCTTCACGTTGATTCTTTACTTCGTACAAAACTTCATAAGACAAATCAAAGCACATTAATTATGTTTGTAACAACAAATCAACTACATCATTACAGCTGCTTTGATTTCAGAACACAGTTTGGGCGTCATTGTACCTGACACAAGGTAACACTGATTCCATTCAATGTCTCTGTCTTCTTTACCGTGGCCGACAAGAACAAAATTTTACACCGCAACTTTTGGTGTTTTACACCGCAACTTTTGGTGTTTTACACTGCAACTTTTGGTGTTTTACACTGCAACTTTGGGTGTTTTACACTGCAACGTTTGCTGTGTTTTACACCGCAACTTTTGCTGTGTTTTACACTGCAACTTTTGCTGTGTTTTACACTGCAACTTTTGGTGTTTTACACTGCAACTTTTGCTGTGTTTTACACTGCAACTTTTGCTGTGTGGAAAACTTACACCCCTCCCCTTTTATAATGGACGGTCCCCCTGCCAGGTCAAAGGTGACAACGATGGCATGCAAACTACGTCGACTGAGTTATCCTTTTCGTGGATACAATCGACCGTACCGTGGCCGACAAGAAAAGATGGCGTATAATGTAAACAAAAACAGCGATCGCTCGTATACAAATGTAGAATAATATTGTATACAATATTTATAGTTAATAAGACATCTAATCAATGTTAATTAGTCAATCAGTAATTTATAAACTGTCATCATGGAGGCAATACAGTGTTGTGTAAGTATAGTAAAGTTAGAACACAAAGAAGAACAGACAGAATTATAAATCATCAATTTATTCACAGCTTGATCAATTTCTTAAGATCCCATGGGTACACATCCTTCCTACTTCTGAGACGTCTTGACTCCATCACACCATCTTGGGGTGGGGTGGGGGCAGGATCTGGAAGTCGGTCGATTGTTGTGACGCATGGCAGCAAAAAGCAACATAATTTGTAATCACTGGACCTGGTCGAAACATTTTTAAATTTATCCCGATCTATAGGCCAAAGCTAGAAAAACCTTTAGAAAAAAACTAACGTCACAACGTAGCCAAGCTTTTCCTCTAAAAAAACTTATGCACGAAAAGGATAACTCAGTCAACGTAGTTTGCATGCCATCGTTGTCACCTTTGACCTGACAGGGGGACCGTCCATTATAAAAGGGGAGGGGTGTAAGTTTTCCACACAGCAAAAGTTGCAGTGTAAAACACAGCAAAAGTTGCAGTGTAAAACACCAAAAGTTGCAGTGTAAAACACAGCAAAAGTTGCAGTGTAAAACACAGCAAAAGTTGCAGTGTAAAACACAGCAAAAGTTGCAGTGTAAAACACCCAAAGTTGCAGTGTAAAACACCAAAAGTTGCAGTGTAAAACACCAAAAGTTGCGGTGTAAAACACCAAAAGTTGCGGTGTAAAATTTTGTTCTTGTCGGCCACGGTACTTCTTTTTTAAAAATAATTCTTAACTGGAAGATGAAAACATCTGTGCGTGGAGGGAGTACATGTATATATACATGTAAGGCCACAGCAAGTAAATTTTATGGATGACATCCTCCGCAGACTCCAAATCTAATGCGAGCGGGCGAAAAAAAAGGCGGGCGGAAAAAACAGGGTTCCTACATTTTAAAATGTTGACTCAATCATTGTACAAATGGTTTTTAATCAGTGGGAACATCATATATACACAGCCAGCATCACATAATCACTGCATCAAAGTAAGAAACAAAACATTCAATCAGAGCCTTTTCTTGTCTCTTTTTTCATAGTTATTTGCCTTCCACCTTCCAGCATGGCAACAGACATCTTTGCCCATTTTCGGCATATTAACCACTGTTAGAGGGCAACAAAATTTCTTGTTTTTTTTTTTTTTTCAAAATCAGGGGAAAATTAATGCGCGCACTGATGTCATCCAGAAAAATTACTTGCTGTGGCCTAAGAGGGTTCCTTGGTGGTTTTCAAATTCAAGAGCCTTTTTCTAGTCTCTTACCAACCTGATGAACTTATTCATGGACTGGAATGTGATATTTTGTGACGAAAAAGTCGCACGGAGAAGTCAACTGTACATCTCTCTGAGTATAATACATATAACATTATATATACGTACCGTTTTGCTATAAAATCACACTCTAAAGCAATTCTTCTCACCACTACGAAAGTTTGAACACACATCCACAGGACAGGTCTACCATACACAACTAATAACTAGAAAGGTAACGTTTGCAAATCACATACAAAATGCTTACCCTCGTATTTGGTCTGCTCCTTATTACATTTTTATACATGATGACAGGAGTCTAAATCCCTCCTGACATAAAATTGCAACATGATGTAACCTAACACCAGTTACCATGGTGACAGACGTCTGGGTCAGGCCATTGACATTATTTGTTTGGAGAAGAAGAAGAGAAAGAAGGGACAGAGCAAAAACTATCTGTTCTGCGAAGGTAAACATCATTGCTGTGTTGTGCATTACTACTGTGTGGAGTTACGTATATCTGTATGTACATTATGTACATGTCAAGCGAATTGGTGTTGCCATGCCCTGGACTCTGTACTGCTATCCGTATGCTACTGTCCATTTGTAATATATCTATACAAAGCTATTACTATATACTAAAGGTAATATCTTAATGCTTCATTGATTGTTATATGATATATACACAGTGCTATAGGAAAGTCCTAGTTTTCTAATCTCAAACAGACACTTTTGCAGGCTGAATAAATAGTAGAAATTGGCCTAAAGAGAATGTAGCTGGCCAGGGGAGTTGGCCGGCCATAGAAGGTCAAACCTAGAATATGCTGTGACAGTATGGGATCCATATACAAAGAAAGACAAAGACAATCTGGAGAGGGTACAGAATCAAGCTGCAAGATTCTGTGTGAACAACTATGAAAGAGGCGCTAGTGTCATGGAAATGAAAAGAAACCTACAGTGGGTGTCACTGGGAGACAGAAGGGTCCAGTTTGCCTGCATTAGCCCTCTATGGCCGGCCAATTCTTCTGGCCAGCTACATTCTTTTTAGGCTAATTTCTACTATTCATTCGGCCTGGAAAAAAGTCTGGTGGAGACTACTAGTTTTCCCTGTGAGTATAATGTTATCATGTTCGCAATCTCACATTGAAGATTCAGTTGGGCACAAGTTGCACACATTAAACACACACAGACATGTACATTTACAACACAGTCTCTCACCGACATACAAAATATACAAACATTGCTTCATGGCTTAAACACAGTCTTACACAGTAATAGATTTCATGTATGTAGGATATATACACTGGAAGCATCCTTTTCACACATACAGTAGTTATATAATGAGGTACTCATTCTATCACTTACTGTACATTTTGAAACTTTTGCATGGTTTTATTTTAACAATGACCTCTAAACTGCAAATCCATGATGCTGCCAATTTCAGGAGAAAGGAAATAAGAAACCAGCCAATCAGGAGAAGGGCTACAAGCAACCAGCCAATCAGGAGAAGGGAAACAAACAACCAGCCAATCAGGTGAAGGGAAACAAGTAACCAGCCAATCAGGAGAAGGGGAAAAAACAACCAGCCAATTAGGAGAAGGGGAAAAAACAACCAGCCAATTAGGAGAAGGGGAAAAACAACCAGCCAGTTAGGAGAAGGGGAAAAGCAACCAGCCAATCAGGGGAGGGGAAACAAGTAACCAGCCAATCAGGAGAAGGGAAGCAAGCAACCAGCCAATCAGGAGAAGGGAAACAACCAACCAGCCTATCGGGAGTAGGGAAACAAGCAACCAGCCAATCAGGAGAAGGGAAGCAAGCAACTAGCCAATCAGGAGAGAGAGAAAAAAGCAACCAGCCAATCAGGAGAGGGAGAAAAAAGCAACCAGCCAATCAAGGGAAGGGAAACAGGAGCCAATCAGATGTAAGAAGCATCAAAAGAATTCAGTCAAATCCTGCAATATGAAAAACACCCCCCCTTATTTTTGAGATCTGTTTGGAATGTTCTGCAATGTTCAGTTCCTAACCAATCAGAGAGCAGGATGTGATGATGTCACACTGATCACCCTGGGCTTTAAACTGATAGCCTCCCCCCTTCATTGTACAAGCTGCTGAGCCTTGTGGTTTACATTGATAGCTTCTCCCCTCCACTGAGGATTACACTGATAGATGCATCCTCAATTATACAAATTGGTAGGCCTTCTCTACCCTAAAGATGTGCACTGATAGCTTCCCTTGTGTTATAGTAAGCCCTGTCTGGGTTCACACTAATAGCATCCCCTGCCTTTTATGGTCTTGTCTACACTTGAGGTTTAACATTGATAGCCTCTCCCAACCATATGTGGCTTTATCCAGCACGTCGGCAGAACGTACTGCACCTGCGCGAAACCCGTAATGTATTGTGCATAGCACTTCAGCAGAACGTCTCATGTAAGGCCGTAGTCATGTATGTAAGGTTAGCATCCCATCTGTAGTTTCCAAATGTTGTGTCGGAAAAAATATCTTCTACAACAGACAAAATTCTGATGCAATGTTAAGCAAACATCCAACAGAAACCGTGAAAAAGCTGCGTTCTGAACAGGTGCAGTACTTTCTGCCGACATGCTTGATAGAATCCTTCGAGGTTTTACGAACTGGTAGGCCTTGTCTATAACTTCCCTCTGCCCGAATGACATTGTCTACCCTTCAGGCTTACATTGATAGCTTCCCCCCTGCCATATAAGGCCTTGTCTACCCTCAAAGTTCACACTGATAGTCTCCCCAGAGGTCATATGAACTGGTAGGTCTTTTTTACCCTTCAGGTTTACATTGATAGCCTCCCCCTGCCATATATGGCCTTGTCTACCCTATGGTTGCCCTTATAGCGTCCCCCAGGGTTTTCGAACTGGTAGGCCTTGTCTACCCTTCATGTTTACATTGATAACTTCCCTCTGCCCAAATGACATTTTCTACCCGTCTGATTCACATTGATAGCCTCCCCTGCCATATAAGGCCTTGCCTACCCTACGGTTGCCCCTGACAACGACCCCTGGGGTTATACGAACTGGTACGCCTTGTCGGCGGGTTGTTCCCGGATGTTGACGCTGTACTGCTGCCGCCAGTCGACCACGTGCGGCCGCGCCAGACCCGGGATTCGCACGTTGAAGAAATCCGATATGTTCTGAATTACGCCAAAACTGCGGGAACAGAAATGAGCAAGATGGTTGTGTAAAATGTATATAAATATCTGACAGTCGATATCTACAATGATACACAAATTAAGTTCCTGCAGTAACAGAAATAAGCAAGACTGTTGTGTAAAATGTATATAAATATCTGACAGTCAATATCTAAAATGATTCACAAGAAAAGTTAACTGTTACTCAACTACACAAGCAAATAGATAAATTTTGAGAACTGATAGATTTCAACGCTGATAACTGATAGTTTTAAAATCTATCCAGTTGCTGGAGTAACAGTTTTCTTGTGTATCTCATGTCCTGGAAGTCTAAGGAAGTTGTAATCGCATGAAAAACTTTACAGCTTCAGTTTGAAAGCTCCGGTGTGCAGTAAGACAGGTACAGGTGTTACAGGTAACAGACTTGAAAGTTCATCTGTGTTGGAAGAAGTCATTATGAACAAGATTGAACTGTAATTGCCAACACAAAGGGGCGCCACAGACTTTCTGCAACCTATGATCCACTGCTCATGGAGTCATGTGTGTTATCTGCGTGACGTCACGGAAGCGGTGGATTGCTCATTCCTTGACAAAGCCTGGAGTTGTACAGTCAAAAATTTGATTGAGTCCAATTTTTTGTGTTGGAAATTACAGTTTAAACTTGTTCATAGTTAACATGTGTTAATGTTAAGAAAACTTACTTGAAGGGGCTCCTGATGTCTCCGCTGCTGGACAGGAAATGTTTGTATCTCTTACAGTTCATCCGCTCGTTGGTCGTCATGGCAACCCAGAAAATCTGCAGGCACAGATGCAGGTGGTCAGGAATTATGAATGAATGAATGAATGAATGAATGAATGAATGAATGAATGAATGAATGAATGAATGAATGAATGAATGAATGAATGAATGAATGAATGAATGAATGAATGAAGACCTTTATTGTACGCAAATACCCACTGGGTTCAGTACAGGTCACAGGAAAGACGTCACAGTTTGCAATGAATATAATACAATGTACAAGCTAGCGCTAATTCTATGTACTATGGACATATAGTCTAATAATTACAATAATTTGGCTTCTTGGAATAAGGCCACACCGACCTTATTCTATGGATGGCATCCTCTGAAGACCCTCAAACTAGTGCGCAAATAAGGAAATTCTGGCCCGAAATAAAAATGCTACTAGACCACAGAAATACAAAGTTACTACAATGTATTGTAAATATGCGGCAGTACATAGCGACTTTTACAACAAGAGGGCACATGTTGGCATTTCAAGGAATTTATGAACTGGCACTGTTCATAATGTACTGAGTTCTTTGGAGCTTCGGTAGCCTGGGTGCCATCCTTAATATAGTTACCGCCGGCTCCCTATTGTTGCTAGCTACCCATGGACTACAGAGTTACAGGTGAGAGTTACCTGGTACACCTGCAGGTGTTGTACAGGTGAGACAGGTGTTCCACAGGTGAGACATAACAGGTGCTACATACCTGGTACACCTGCAGGTGTTGTACAGGTGCTACATACCTGGTACACCTGCAGGTGTTGTACAGGTGCTACATACCTGATACACCTGCAGGTGTGTAACAGGTGAGACTTACCTGGTACAGGAGATAGACAGGTGAGACATACCTGGTACACCTGCAGGTGTTGTACAGGTGAGGCAGGTGTTGTATAGGTGAGACATACCTGGTACAGGAGATAGACAGGTGCTACATACCTGGTACACCTGCAGGTGTTGTACAGGTGCTACATACCTGATACACCTGCAGGTGTTGTACAGGTGAGACTTACCTTGTACACCTGCAGGTGTTGTACAGGTGAGACATACCTGCAGGTGTTGTACAGGTGAGACATACCTGCAGGTGTTGTACAGGTGAGACATACCTGGTACACCTGCAGGTGTTGTACAGGTGAGACATACCTGGTACACCTGCAGGTGTTGTACAGGTGAGGCATACCTGGTACACCTGCAGGTGTTGTACAGGTGAGACATACCTGGTACACCTGCAGGTGTGGTACAGGTGAGACTTACCTGGTACACCTGCAGGTGTTGTACAGGTGAGACATACCTGGTACACCTGCAGGTGTTGTACAGCTGAGACTTACCTTGTACACCTGCAGGTGTTGTACAGGTGAGACAGGTGTTCCACAGGTGAGACATAACAGGTGCTACATACCTGATACACCTGCAGGTGTTGTACAGGTGAGACATACCTGATACACCTGCAGGTGTTGTACAGCTGAGACTTACCTTGTACACCTGCAGGTGTTGTACAGGTGAGACAGGTGTTCCACAGGTGAGACATAACAGGTGCTACATACCTGATACACCTGCAGGTGTTGTACAGGTGAGACATACCTGATACACCTGCAGGTGTTGTACAGGTGAGACATACCTGGTACAGAGGCAGGTGTTGTATAGGTGAGACATACCTGGTACAGGAGATAGACAGGTGAGACATACCTGGTACACCTGCAGGTGTTGTACAGGTGAGGCAGGTGTTGTATAGGTGAGACATACCTGGTAGACATACCTGGTACACCTGCAGGTGTTGTACAGGTGAGATGTACCTGGTACACCTGCAGGTGTTGTACAGGTGAGACAGGTAACATTACAGATGCTACATACCTGATACACCTGGCAGACGAGCAGGATGCCGACCCAGGTGAAGTGCAGCAGAGCGTTGAGGAAGATCCACATGACCCACGGCGAGCAGTGGCCCGCGGCACCCACGTACGACCAGAAACCCAGCTGGGAGAAACCCAGGCCGCAGTGCTGGCTCCAGTCTAGGGGGGGATAG